ATTTTTTTTTTGAGAGATTTTCACTGTAGGGCGCGTGCGCTCGCCAGACAGACAGAGAGAGACATAGAGACAGAAAGCGAGAAATCACCCCCCAGGGGGGATGGTCATGCCGCAATCCCTTCTCCTCCATTCTCCTCTCGGGATCTTGGGCACGCACGCACACGCGCCCGGCGTGAGTTTTAAGCCACCGGGTCCGGGACACGAACCGCGGTCGACTACGTGGGAGTCCAGCGACATAGCCATTACGCTAACTGCTGGTTCCCCCCTCATTGAGTTTTTATCTCTCTATTTCACAGATAAGATCACTGAGTTCCAGAGGAAACAAATGATTTGCCCACACAAATACTAACAGTAGAATCAGATCTAGAAGCCAGTTTTCTGATTCTTTGTTGTGCATAGTGATTCTTCATGAAGTCAAAGAGGCTGTACTATGGACTCGCAGCAATGAGATTCTCCACTGGGGCTGCTCAGCTCTTGTGATACATGCCTGGAGTTGCTGCAGAGCTGGGTGGGCAAAGGAGTGAAAGTGCACTCTCTGGAGAAAGCCTGCCTGAGAGTGAACCATTGTACTGGAGAGCATAGGCCAGACAGGAGACAGGACCAAAAGGCATCTGAGGCCCCTATAATCTGTGCTTGACAGAGCGCCACCTCTTAGTCATTTCAGTTATGCAAGCTGGTAGATATCCTTTCTATTCAAAGCCAGGTCATAAGGGATATTTTGTGACCTGCACCTATCTGGCTTCAAGAAAATGCTATCCCAAAGACTGGCTTTGATATGCTGAATTAAAGAAACAGCCTCAGGTGCTCACTTTGGCAGCAGATGTACTAAAATTGGAATGGTACAGAGAAGATTAGCATGGCCCCTGTGCAAGGATGATCCACAGTGTTCAAAAAAGTAAAAGCAAAAGAAACAGCCTAAGATTCTAGGTCTCTCTCTCTCTCTCTTTTTTTTTTTTTTTGAGAGGTTTTTGCTATAGGGCACCTGCACTCACCAGGAAGACAGAGAGAGAGAGACACAAAGCGAGAAATTCCCCCCCAGGGGAGATGGCCATGCCACAATCCCTTCTCCTCCAATCTCCTCTCAGGATCTTGGGCACGCACACGTGCACGCACGCGCACACACACACAACGGTGTGAGTTTAAGTCACCGGGTCCGGGATTTGAACCACGGTCGACTACATGGGAGTCCAGCGACATAGCCATTACGCCAACTGCTGGTCCCAGATTCTAGGTCTCTTGAACCTTATCTTGTTCCCTGCCCAACCTAGCACCCCCAGTCAAGCACAGGGAGGGGGTCTCTCTGGAATCTGCTTATCTGACAGAAAACTTCTTTTCATTGGAAATATTATTGTTTCTCACTCCCCCCTCAGGAATCTCATTAAGCAATCTGAGAGGGCAGAGACTAAAGGTCACACCTAGGACACCGGCTCTTCTAAGGGCACCTCTGGGAGATCACGTAAGAAAACTTTATCTGCAAGATACCTTTGTTCTGGGGCAGTCTCACCCCTCAACCTCACATAACTTGTTGAATTCCACTCCCAAAGAAAATCATTTACAAACCATTGTCTGAGCTTTGGGCCCATTCATTTCCTCATTCTACTCTTATCTTCTGAAGAGGGTATTTAAGCCTCAACCATCTGGCTCCTTTCTGAGTTCATATTTTGTATGAACATATACACCTGTATACATTCAAATAAAATTTGAATGCCTTTTCTCCTAAACTGTCTACTGTCAGTGATTTTTAGCAAACTTTCCAAAAATGTGGGAAATTCTTTTAGCCCTATACATCCAAGAGTCCTGAATATGCCAAGTGTCTCTACTTTGCAAAAAAGAAAAGTTCTAGGAAGCTCACTGGGAACTGTGTTTGACAAGTGATTAAATGTAATATATAATTTATGTGAAAGGGCCAGTCCATAGCATGGTGGTTAAGACAGCTAGATTCCAAAAGATTGACTGAGCAGGAAGAATTCCCCTTCAGGTGTCTTGAAAAACATCCCAGTCCACATGCACAGGACAAAATTCTTTTTCCTATTCCAAAATTGTTTCCCAGGGGCCTGGGAGAGTCACACCTACAAGCATTAATGGGGGCCTACAAACATTAACAGACCATTGGCAGTAGGATGTCATGGCCTCTCCCAGGCATAGTGTTTTTATGATAAGCCTTCTTATCTCTTAAAGCACAGACATTGTTATGCTGATTTCTTTCAGGAACAGAGACTAGTGATTTCCCTTGACCAATTACTACTAATCTAACAATTTCAGGAACCAGCAGATGGCATACTGGTTACTTCACTGGACTCCAACATAGTTGACTGCAGTTCGAGTCCCAGACCCGGTAGGTTTAAACTCATGCCAGGCATGTGTGTGCATGCCCAAAATCCCAAGAGGAGAAAGGATTGTGGTATGGCCATCTACACCCCACCTTCCCGGTGATTTCTCTCTTTCTGTCTCTCTGGTGAGTGCACACACCCTAAAGAGAGAATTTCTCTAAAAAGAAAAAAGAATTTCGAACTCACCAATAACCTACAAGCCTCTACTTCCAGTTGTCCTCCTTTTGGCCTGGACTAATGTAAAAGACTTCTTATGCTGACTGACAACTCTCCTATCCTCAAAACTGTATAAAAAGAACCACTGTATCTCAGTACTCAAAAAAAAAAAAAAAAAAAAACACTCTTGTCTTTCTCTGGGCCAGTCACTCAAATCCATGCTTAGAAATAAACCTCACTGAAGCCAGCAGGTAGTGTTGTGCTTAAGGTGCTGGACTTCACATGGTCGACCATGGTGTGAGTTCCTGGACTTGGTGGCTTGCTTTCTCACTTTTCCTCCATCTTTCTCTCTGGTTAAATAAATAAAGTTAAATGAAAAATTCTCAAAGAAAAAAAAGAGAGAAATCGACCTCATTAGTTATTATTTCTACAGAGTTAGTTATTCTGTTGATGGTGCCTGAATCCAGAGAAGAGAATGGAGGAGGAAGGATTATGTGGTGTGACCATCCCTACTGGGGAATGCTTTCTCACTTTCTCCCCACTACCCCTATGAGCACACATGTCCTATAGCAAATCCAATTAAATTCATAATTGTTTTAA